AAGTAATTTGTTAAGTATGGTTAATCCATTGTTCGCTTGGAAGTATGGAAGTAGAATCAGTTTAAAAGTATGTGATTCCAGTTAATGAAGCCAATTGTTGTCGCTTTGAGTTATGCCGTGGAGTAGTTGGGTTGCCCAGTTGACATCTACACATCCATCGCAACTTCTGTTATAAAGGCGTTTATATATGACAGTGAATCAACAACAGCGGCGCTGATTTATTCATGTCTTATCTCAATGTTTAATTCGAAATCAAATTTGTGTATTTGTTTTATCATCTTCCATAAACGAACTGATATGGCCGACGGTAGGTAGACTTTGGTGTATTCCTCTCCAAATGTTCTCAGGTGGCCAGTTAGGTCTTGTTTACTGCTTTCATGCCTTGGGGGCATTCTTCGCAAAATTCAAAAAGCGAATGCAGACGTTTGGCGCTTTCTATAAGATTGCTGGGCATGTTAATCATTCTAGCCGAGCTGTCTTAGAACATAGGTACCTGCGTTCTATCACCTGTGTGAAGTGGTACAATAGGGTGAGCACCATTGAAGTTAGGCGTCTAGTGCTAGGTAGGTGGGAGGGGAAATCAATCGACGAGACTGTGAAGCTAGATCGACTGAGATGATTAGGACATCTGTTAGGTATACCTAGTCATCGCCTTCCTCGACTGACAGCCAATGTTAGCTGACATAGGGTCACGTTGGTAAAGAGCTAGCGGCGGTCAAACCGAAACATGGCTTCATCAGTCAGTGAAATCCACAACATTTAGTTTAAGCTAGCCACGTAGAAAAGTGTGGACTTCTTGGTTGGGTTCCTCGGGACGGTAAACACCAATGAAGGCTGGAGACAATTGATGATATGACTCGAAATCGTTCTCAATGGCTGGCGCAAATGCATTCACTCTGTGTGACTTGTCATATCCAATGAAACTAGATTGTTTTTCGTTAATACTATTCCTTTTGTCTCATATCCCTGTCTACTGTCTCTATTATGCATTTCTTGTAATTTCTTCTCCTGCTTTGTGTGCTACAAGAAGGGAGTGTGGTGACTTGAGCTGCTACACATCGGTGGAAAGTTCTATGTTGAAAACAGACAGACAGGGAAGTTGGAAAACGCTGATTCCAAACCAATAATGTACTTGGGCTTTATAATCCCAACAGGGATTTCTTTTGATTGGACGAAGGATTTCATCATAAGCTGACATCAGTTAGAGAGCCACTGTGGCTCAACGGTCTACGAGCTCTCTCGCCTTGTAACCAGAAGGTCCTGGGTTCGAACCCCGGTGGGTGCGTACTGATGAAGATCCCTGAACTAGGGCGAAACAGCTGTCCAGTACTCCCAGGTTTACCAGTGGTTCTCTAACCGATGTCAGTTCATGAAGAAATTCTCCATCCAATCAAACAAAATCCCTACAAAACCAATACTTGAAAAGTTAAAATTGATAGTTCATTGTATTTTGCCTCAGTGACTCAATGGTATGCGGGATCTAATTGTGACTTGAAGGTCTTGGCTTCAATCTCTGGTGGTAGTGGTGCGGGGGATTCTGGGTGCGTACTACTACTGAAGAGTTTCAAAGGCTAGGATGTGAAACATTCGTCCAGTAATTCTTGGTTCTCTAACTGAAGTCAGTTCGTGATCAGTCCTAAAGTTATGGAGCATAATTGAGATAAGATAAAGTTATCTCACTGATGGTAAGGAAAGATTGACAATATATGCACGTTCACTTTTAATCATTCAACCAATATGGCTTTGACAGTACCGTAGTTGACTGGATCTAACTTGTACTGTGATTATTTTAAATGATTTTAAATTGTCAATTTCGTGGCCATTAATTATCCAGCAGCAAGTGATGAGCCAATGCACTACTTAAGACTTTTGTACTTTTCAGTCTTAAATTCTTTGGAATGTGCTTAGACATTGAGGTCAGAAATATCCTTCTTTCTGTTCCTCTTATAAACATGTGCTTTGTCACATACGTACATGTAAAGTGGTGTATGCAATTAGAAGCAACATAAAAGAGGAACTTAGCAGTTTTAGGTTGTCTCAGTGAGTAACTTCATTTCAAGTCTGATCGCAAACTGTCCAAGGAGTACTGGACATAACCCCACCGGGGATCGAACCTAGGATCTTCAGGTTACGAGGTCCAACTCGTTGACTTTGCAGCCATTTGGGCTGGGATCCAATGTCTCATTAAATCCAAACTCCTATCAGTCTACTACTTTTGCAAGACTGCTTATGGGTGCCAGTGAACTTAGCCTCGTAACCTGAAGGTCCTGGGTTCCATCTCCGGTGGGTTCGTGAATGAGTACTGATGAGGAGTCCCGAAAGAGGACAAAATGACTGTCCAGTTCTTTAAATAACATCAATCTGTGGTCAGACTTCAAACAAATAAGATTTCTACAAAGTAACTCTTGAAAGGTGCATACTTAGGGAGATTGATTTCTTCTCAACTGTATGGAAGATTTTGTGTTTATAACTTTAGTATTCTTTTCTGTGATCATAGGTGACAATGAATTACGTAATAGTTAATCTTTTTTGGTCTGTATTTGACATAAATGTTTATCCAGTCTGATTTTCGAGTTCATGTTTGATGAAATGAACTTTGACACAATAAGTAAGTAGGAAGAGAAAATAAAGTTGAAGGTTATGTGTACATGATTGTATGTAAGTAAGTGTGTATTGTATTGAATAAACTAAAACATATTGAATACTGCTCAATAAACAGTGCTAAACCAAAAAAACAAAAATAGAATGGTCGAAGGTCACAAAGAAAGACATTTAATTCCAAATGAGATAGGATTGGCTTAGAAAACGGGGTTAAAACTGGTCACATTAACAGATGATGTCAGTCCATAAAGTTTCTGACTGTTATTTAATTGAATTTAAGATTTTCTCGTCGATTGATTGGACTGAAGTGGCCGGTCTCAGGTTGACATGTCGGCTTCTTGTGCAGATGCTTCAACTAGTCCCAAATAGGACGAAATGCGCATCCTGGACTCCACTGCTAGTCACCATCCACAATTTAAATTCTAATTAAATGCCCAGACATCTGAAATTCAATTAAATTAATATGACCCGTTGCACAAGAGACAGTGGCTCTCGTGGCCCAAGTGGTCTAGTGAATAACGCTTTGGCGTTTGAAACTATGGGTACTGGGTTTGAGCCTTGGTGGGGACATCATCATTCACTGGGAAATGTAGGTACATCCAGATGACGAGTCCCAGATAGGACGAAATGCGCGTTATCCTGGATTACTCCAATGCTAGTAACTATCCGAAAATTAAATTCTCTGACTGTTAGTTTGAGTCTCGTAGAGGGAAGGTTAGACTGTGGTGAGAGCTATCTGCTAGCCAAAATTGGTAGACAGCAATTTACATCAATATATACGTCCCAAAATCTTGGTCATGAGAAAAAACAAAAACAGGGCCTAACCTTGAGGAACTCAACAACCAATCACAGCAGACTTTGCGTGGGCGGACAATATCAACGGACTGACTAAGAAACGACAACAAAGAGATGATAGAATAACCCTCAGCAGGAAAGCAACCAATCAGAAGACGTTGCTTCTCTGCTAACAATAACGCTAATAATAATGTACATAATAAAAATCTATAAATATCTGTTGATTTTCTCAATAAACGATCTGTGTTGCCTGGCCCTTGTCTTCTGTCGTTACAAGACTACCTAATTGCGGTCTTTGAGGCGCTAGGATCTAATGTCTGGAGGCTGTTGACGACATCGCTCAAAGTTGTTCTCAATAGCTCAGTTGCAAACAGATCTATTGAATCCTGATTATTCCTTCATATAATTATTCTGTCTATTGCACACTTCCCTTTAGTTTCGTTTCTTTGAGTTTTGTTTCTCCTCTGCTGTCTGTATGCGTGATTTTATGAACTGCTGAACTCTTGTATGAAGTTCTAAATTTAAAATTTAGTTCACTACACCTATAACTTCTACTGTTTGGTGTAGTCAATACTTGTCTTGGCTTTCTTTTAGTAGGGAGGGGCTAATTAAAAGCTCATTTTATATAATGTTAAGGAATTGATATTTAACTGTTTTTGTAAATTGTCTTCATAGGATGGTGTGTAAGGGGTACTCTTGAAGATAAAAAAAATATAAAAAATTCTTAAAACAACACTCAACATGACTAACAACGTGCTCCTCTCCTTCTATCTGATTAAGTATGATTAAGACTGACATCAGAAGATGCAGTTGGCACCATCTAGCGTAGCCGTCAAAGGTCAATTTTACAATGCTTCAGTGCACGTGGTTGTGCTCAACACGTCTGTGAAACCTGGTATCTTCGAGCGTGTGACGTAAGGCAACTCAGCGCCCTCATACAATTGCTTTCATCCGGTTGGTATCACCGTGTAATTAGTTCTAAAGTCTGGCAGTGTGTTTAGCACACGGTGGGAATTCTCTTTCAATAAGTATCGTCATCTTGGAACACTGGTTTTAGTAGTTTTGACATTTACCACGAATTTCATCCCAACGGCCGTCCACTGTTTTGGCTGGGAAAAACGTGAGAGGATGTGTTCAGCTTACTACGTGACACCGTCAGATGAAGAATAGTTCTGTTAGGTTACCCCATCTGTTGGTGCGTCATTGACTCCGTAGGTAGGATCCGAGAGGTAATGCAGAATCAGTGGTTCGAGACGTTTATATAAGATATGACTGAGAATCGTAATGTGAATGGCAGACATGCTGTAATCTCTGTTTCCTCTCTTTCTGAAGGTGACATAAAGTGATGAACGCTCTTTAAATACTCTTCATTAGTATACCTACTTATTTCCATGATCGTGTTTCTTAATCATTCGGCTTCCTTTGCGCATATATTATGTTTATTGATTGATTTTTGGGTAGTACACACACCTCTTGGTGTGCATATCGCATATATTGATGAACAGACTAAAGAAGAATAGCTACTCTGTTGGATTTACTCACCGTAAACTTGCTTATGCTTTTACTCTACTGTTAATTAGTATTATTTATTATTATTATTTCAGGGTGACTTCAATTGCCGATCAGTTGAATGTTGACTTTGCACTTATTCATAAGGAAAGAAAACGTGCCAATGAAGTAGATCGTATGGTTCTTGTCGGTGATGTAAGCAATCGTGTAGCAATACTTGTTGATGATATGGCAGATACTTGTGGAACAATATGCACTGCAGCAGACAAGTAATACAAAATATGCGTATATATATATATATATATATATTACTGTTGTATTTTGAATAGCTTTTCTTGTAAATGTACGTTTTTCCCGCCTGTGTTTATGTGAAGTAGTAGGCTTGTGGTGTGTCTACTTACTTAGCGGCGTATTTGATTTTAGGTCTTTTTTTTCAAAGCCATCCAGGTTCGGAAAAGCAAGGACAGACCTTCTTTTTTTTTTTCTTCTCTGAAATCGCTATGGAAATCTACTGCAGCACTCAGTATATAAGGAACAAGGTGCGGATCTTTAACACTGATGTCAAGTCATTGCTCGTATATTGGTTCAGAGGCGTTATGTATTTTTTTTCCTTCACGTTCCCCAATGGAACATAGGGCTTCAAGCTGGTGGCTTGAAGTTTCCGTAGCAGTGTTTATTTTACAGGATGAAGTTGCTAGCCTCATGCCCAACCTTTCCTCTTCACCAGCATTATTTCTGGCTTAGCGAGGTAACGGAGTGCGTCGGCCGGGGATCGAACCCCGGACCATGTGCAGGGTCGGCGAGCGTCCTAGCCGCTATGCCACCGACGCACTGGGGGCTCGTCCGGGATTCGAACCCGGGGGCACTCGCGTTATGTAAAGCACTGCCAATAGCCTACTGTGGAGTTTCATCACCATCCGCCAGCCTTTTGTTTTTTACTCCTTACTGAAGATCAGATAGCCAGAAAGGATAAGCAATGATGTGAGGGACTCTGGCAACGAACCTGTTGCCCAATTAATTAATATGCCGAAGAAAATGGAGATGGATTGGACACATGTTGAGGAGACCGTTGAGTGGCGTCACAAGGGTTGGCTGTTGTGGCCCAGTCACTATTGTGTTTGAGAGGATGAATGCTGGTTACTTTCGAATTTCAGTGGGAAAACCATCGCTTACTTGAGATTTACACTCATCCAGCTGACGAGCCCCAAAAAGGATGAAATGCGATCCCTTGGTTGCGTTGTTGGTCAACATCAACTTAATAATATGGATAACATGCTTTCAGATTTGTTCAACATGTCATCAGTCTTCTGGCTGCATTCATATGTAACCGTTTTCAAGTAAATAGGTATTGCGTCATTTCGTGGTTATTCATGATTCAGTTCTATGATGTAGAAACTGTCGATGCCTCCAATCACAGTTTTACAAGGTTATGGCGTTCAGGATTTCCTAGGTCTCATCATCTGTTTCAAATGTTGGCATTTCGTTTAGTTACAAATGTTTTATCAATATCTGAGGGTATGTACGTACAGTGATACCTCCAAGCCTAATGTAATCATTTGACGGATCTTGTGTTCGGATCCTATTTCACTTACTTTATACTGGGCACAACTGGGAAGTATCATCAACCCTCACGCAAAAAAAATTCAGCACGGATCCAAAAAGCTCGGGCTGCTTTCGCCAACTTACACCGTCTCTGGCGTAGGCGTGACATCCGGCTATCAACCAAGGGACGTGTGTACTGCTCAGAAGTTCACTCCGTCCTTCTCTATGGCTCTGAAACATGGCCAATACGAGTTGAAGACATGAAAAGGTTGACTGTCTTTGATCATAGATGTCTACGATCTCTTTCTCACGTTAGGTGGTATAATAAGATGAATAATGTTGACGTCAGGCGTAGAGTGTTGGTTGGGCAAAGAGGGACAATCAATCAACTAGGCTATAAAGTTACATAGATTGAGATGGCTAGGTGACGTGATGCGCATGCCTAACCATCGCCTCCCCCGACGGACGGGCATTCGTAGCTGATATGGGTGTTGTGGGTTGGAAAAGAGTAAGTGGTGGCTAAACAAAAACATGGCCTCATCAGTCCATGAAATCCTTGACAGTTAAACTGAGTCAGGTAGGTAGGGAGATGCAGACTTCCGGGTTGGGGCCCACGGGACTCTAAGAATCAATGGTTGGAGACACTAGGTGACATGGCTCAAAATCGTTGTCAATGGCTAGCGCAGATGTATTCAGTCTCTGTAATCTTTCATATTCCTTTCTACCATAGCTCACTCTGTTTCACTCTTATACTTGTCAAAACTCTATTGATTCTCTTCACTCATTTTCTTGTCTACCTTTGTGTGGTATTTGGAACGTGGCAACTGGAACTGCTGCACTTCGGTGCCAAGTTCTACGTTGAATCCAGACAGACGCAAAAAAAGTGTAGCTGTTAGCCTGGAACATGAAAAATTTGTTCCGAGTAACAGAGTACTGAGTTCTAACTAGTGCAGCCATATATATGTTACTCAACTAATGTAAGCATATCTGATAGCTGTATATTGTGACTTTCAAGTCTTTACTGTTGTGTGTTCATCATTACCAAGTTATCTTGTCCGCGCCAAGTAAAATACTAAGTCTCGTCATCCTGGAGAGAATGAAAGATGCATTGGATTCAGAACTCCGCCTCCTACTCGGAACAAGCTGGATTCAGGAAAGGCAAATCATGTGCTGCAGATCAAATTGCAACTCTACGCATCGTCATCACAGAATAAAGCATAGAATGGCTGGTAAACCTTTACCTCAACTTCCTTCATCGACTTCGAAAAGGCCTTCGACAAACAGCGTTGACCGTGAGGTAATTTAGAAAGTACTTCAACACTATGGCGTGCAGTGTCAAAGTTTTTATCAACCTCATTCAACAGCTAGCTGGCTGGCTATATGACAATGTCTGGTATGTGTCAGGTGATCCACAACGGGAAACTCAGCGAGGCGTTCGAAGTGAATACAGGAGTCAAACAAGCTAGCTATCATCACCGATGGTATTCTTAATTGTGGTGGACTGGATTATGTATCAGACTGTGTGTTGGGAGTGAGGAGACAGGAATACGCTGCTCTAGAAAATCTAGATTTCGCGTGTGGATGACTTATGTTTAGTGTTACACAAACTCTAAGAACTGCAGGCAGCGAAGATAGGAGTCCAGGTGAACATGGAGAAGATGAATGTGATGAAGATAACCAAGCAATAGCAACAACAAACACCGCCAATCACTATTAACGGGAGAAACTTGGAAGAGGTCACTTCCTCCACTTATCTACGAAGCATTGTTTCAATCACAGGGGGGGGGGAACGGATGTATATGTCAAAACCAGAATCGTAAAGGCAAAGCAGGCCTTCATCACTCTGAAATCAGTTTGGAAGTGTTCTGCACTCCTCAGTATAAAGAACAAGATTCGGATTCTGTTCAACACAAATGTGAAGTCAGTCAGTTCTACCATACGGATCAGAAATTCGGCGTATCACGAAAAGCATTTCCAGCTGGCTACAGCAGACTTTTATCAACAGCTGCCAACTTCACTGGCTCTGTAATGAAGATCAAATGGCCGGAAAGAATTAGCAACAAGAAACTATGGGGACAGACTGATCAAGAACATATCGTTCAACAAATGTGTGGGAGAAAATGGAGATGGGTAGAAAATACGCTAAGGGGACCGTCGAATGACATCACGTGCCTGGCCATCACTTGAGTGGAATCCCGATGGGAAGCGACAAGTAGGTCTTCGCTTCGAGAGTGACTTGAAGGAGATCGTGCGAAGATGAGATGAGGGATTATGGGCAATTGTGAACGCAGATGAAGAGGACAGCACCAGACAGAATAAAGTGGAGATGTGTTGTTGAAGCCTTATATTCCACTCAGAATCTAAGGGAACAAAAATAATAAGCTTTGTATGCCTGAACTGTAATTTCTTAACCGCGCATCGGTGGTTAACTGGGGAAGAATACTCTCCAATTACTTAACACGTGGTCCGGGGTTCGATTCCCGCCGGACGAACTCTTAAGCCTCGCCTAGCTGACATTAAGTCTGGTAAAGTGGGAAGGTTAGACGTGAGGCTAGCAACATCGCCCTGTAAAAATTAAACGCCAAAGCTTAAAGTCCTATGTTCCACTCGGAACGCAAACGAATAAAAAAATTTCTTGACCAACTTTTCAAGATGATTCATCATCCAAAGTTCTAAATTAACCTGCTAATAGTGGTACTTAATAATAATAATTATCCAGGATAGTTTTGTGGAGATATGATTCGTTGGTTAAAACATCCAAGAAGTCCCTGGTTCGAGTCCGACTTCACTTACATCCTCCTAGGTAACTGGCTTTTATCAACATAATAAGTGTAACACATAGCCTGATACATGTAAAATCTATTCCAGGCAAATAGTGTTCTAACAACATAGGCCAGTTCAGCCTCACACTTAATCTATCGGACTTCGTATAAAACAGGTTTTAAACAAACAACAGCCATACTTGTGATAATTATTTGCATTTGAAGTCTTCATCTCTGATGCCGAAGTTCTATATATCTGAAAAGAGGTAATAACTCAGCTATTCGGATTGCATTTTCCACTTACCCAGTTATGAGCCACTCTGATTGTATGAAGAATAACGTTACTATCCAAATGTCCACCTTGAAGTAAGTGAGGCGGTTTTGAACTCCGGAACCTATTGGTGGGAAGTCGAGATCTCCAGGCAATAAATCAAGTGAGACCAGGATCTTATACTATGATGCGTTTGAAGTCCAGAAAATTTCGATCATTAAATGACTTCAGGGGACGATCTCAGATTGAGACGAGAGCTAATGAACAAACATTTCCTTCGTCTTTGTTATTTAAATACTAAATCTAGCCTCAACAGCTATAGAATTTATTATTGTTGTCTGTATGTGTTGCTTAACATCTTTGTTTTGCCAAATCTCCCCCCCCCCGATTTTAGATTAATTGAAGCTGGCGCGGAACGAGTTTATGCAATATGCACGCATGGTATATTCTCTGGTCCAGCGTTGGATCGAATCAATAAGTCAGCTTTTGAAGCTGTTGTTGTAACAAACACGCTACCACAGGAAGAAAATATGCGTAAAGCACCTAAGATACAAGTAAGAAACATTTTAAGACTTTAAATGTGTTTCTCGTTTGTGTGTGTGTGTGTGCGTGGGCTGTATTTGTTGGCAATGAAAGCTGAAGGTGTTTTTAAGAACACTTGAATCTTTTCCTATCTAGTTTCGCATATGCCAGTTTACTCCGTCTCTGGCGTAGACGTGATATCCGACTATCGACCAAAGGGCGTGTGTACTGCTCAACAGTCCGCTCCGTCCTCCTTTATGGCTGTGAGACCTGGCCATTGAGAGCAGAAGACATGAAAAGATTAGCTGTCTTCGATTATAGGTGTCTGCGTTCTATCTCCCGTGTGAAGTGGTATAATAAGGTGAGCAATATTGAGGTTAGGCATCGAGTGTTAGGTAAGGAGGGGAAATCAATCGACGAGACTGTGGAGCTACATCGACTGAGATGGTTAGGACGTGTTACGCATGCCTAGCCTAGTCATCGCCTTCCTCGACGGACAATGTTAGCTGATATAGGGCCAGGCTGGAAAAGAGCTAGCGGCGGTCAAACCAAAGCATGGCACCAGTCAATGAAATCTACAACAGTTAGTCTAAGCCGGTCACGTAGGAAGGTGTAGACTTCTTGACTGGTTGGGATCCTCGGGACGGTAAAAACCAATGGTTGGAAACAATTGGTGACATGGCTCAAAATCGTTCTCAGTGGATGGCACAGATGCATCCACTCCTTGTGACTTATGATTTCCAATGAAACTGTTTTGTTCTTCGTTATTACTATTCCTTTGTCTCACACCTCTGTTTACTGTCTATATTATGCATTTCTTCTACTTTCTTCTCTTGCTTTGTGTGCTACAAGGAGGGAGTGTGGCGACTTGAACTGCCGCACATATGTGCAAAGTTCTATGTCGAAAACCGACCGACTAGCTGTACAGTTATTTTGGGGACTCCTTATTTACGCATTTAGAAAAAAAACAGATTGAGCGAAGAAATATGCACACCTTTTCAATTAGTTCCTCGTCACATCGGCTGGCTCTACACTAATATATAGTTTTTACATCAAAATGTTTTTTGCCAATCAAGTGGTTATTTTAGTTAGATATGATGGGGAAGATTTTTTAGCTCAGATGGATGATTTCGATGTAGTTGTGTTCTCTGTGCTAGCTGGACGGTTTAGTTGTGAAGCTTTCACTGCCCTACTAATCATCTCTCTTCGTGGGTGATCTTACACGTCGTGATTGGTTGTTTCTGTGTGTTTTCACATCCTCTAGGCTACTTGTATTGGTAGCAGCAGTGTTGATTATTTCCTCGACCTGAAGTTTGACCCTTTGTGTATGAGATTTCTTTCTTATCGGTTGATGAATTTTGTCTATGTCAATGTGTCGTCTATTGATTGACGATTCACTGGAATACCAGACGGGCTTCTAAATATTCTCTGGCTAGCATTCTTGGTGCTGTTTCCTCTGTCTAATATTTGAACGTTGGTTGTCCCAGTCGAATTGATGTCCATGGTTGTCTGTATGCAGTGAGGCGATATGAGGGAGTGGATGTCATGTCTTTTGACAGCCGGCCAGTTTGTGTTCATGGATACGAAGACGAAGGGGACGTCCACTTTGGCCAATGTAGTGTTTTTCCCAGTCGTTGCAACTTATTTTGTAGATGATGTTTGGTTTTATCAATTTCCGCTATGGAATCTTTTGGTTGACACAGGGTTGGCTGGCTGAGTGAAGTGGTTTTGTTGGTTTATGTCCGACATCAATTCCTAAAGGTTTGAAAAGTCTTGCAGTGATTTTTGAGACGTCCTTTATGTGTGGTAGGATGGTTTACTCTGTGTTTTCCCTGAGGGGGGGGGGGCTTTGATTCGGTAGGTTGGCTTGGGGATAGATTTCTTTTGATAAAGTTCTGTGGATATCCATTCTTTTAGAAGACGTCCATGAGATATTTTAGTTAATCTGTTTTAAGTATGCGGGTGGGTGGGAGGTTGGTAAAATTAAGAGGTTAAAGGTCATCAACACAATTAACTAATCGATGTTAGTAACAAGATATCTAAGTTTTGATGGAGGGAGAGATGAAAATTACTTAATTACGGAATTCAAGATAAGTTGATTCTCAGCTGTTAGCAACAAGTTATTCAGGGGGTTTAATGTATGCATGGTAGATTGACGACAGAGGTCAAAGGTTAGTTATTTTCAGTTAGTAATAAAGTAAATCGAAGTGGATGAGTAATAACTATTTTCTAAAAGATCAGGAATCAGCTTACGTAATCGAAAGGGGTGACAATTAATTCGTTGAGTGATGACGAGTTAATTATCATTTGGAAAATAGTTGAGAACAAAGGATTGAGAATGAATTGCAAAGGACATAAAACGGACTACATAAGAACCCCTCTTATACAACAGTTAGTTATTCAGGAAAACAAAGAAGCGGGAGAAGCGGTTAGTACTAAGGCCGTAGTAGTAATAGTAAAGAGGCTGAATAAAACGTTTCTGAACACATGTTATGGGATTGCTAAGGCTTCAACTGCATGAGGAAGATGGTAGGTGGAATCCTTTCGAAAGACTTTTGGTTTTACTTTTTGTTAATGCTGCATAACCAGAAGCAATGACATACTCCAGAAGTTGAGTTGTTGACTACTGTTCTGCTACGTCCACCTATTGACAATCATGCTGGTTTAGTGTTTATGGGTTCGTCTGGACCAATGTCCTACTGGTATGGCCTATGTACACTTAGCTCCACAGAGATGTAAGTGAATTGGTAAAGGCACAGTGAAATTGTTAACAAAGGGATCTTGACTTTGATGTTGCTTGATGAATAACACTAATTGTACAGCCTTGAAGTGAAGTCACGAAAAGAGAGATCTCTTTGCTGATTCATGTTTTTTTTTTAATTACATGAAATGGCAACTTTTAATACCCTTTTAATACCCCCCCCCTTAAGTAAAGTGAGGAAGGAAGTTTGCCAATCATCTGTTGACTGATTTTTAAAAAATGTATATCAATGCACTTAACATGTGTTTTGTATGATCGAATTTTGCTATTTGCCAATTACACAATTCGAAGAAGTGATTCAGTTCTTTGAGTTTAAGTTAAACTGCGCAGTTTCGATCCCAAAACAAACGAATTCATCATTCGATGTTTGAGTTATTTCGATATTTTCTAATTTATAATTAAAAAACACAAGCTTGGTACATTATCAATACTCAAAGGAGCTACATCCCACTGGATCCCGGGTACCGAAACAAGTTCATACACCATTCTTTTCGTTGGGATTCTTGAGCGAATGTAAACTGTGGATTTCGAATCAGCGATTTTCCAGCTCTCCTAGGTAGACCATCATGTCCACTATCCCGGTTTTAGGCACCAGATGTTTCCCTTCTCCCTTTCCCTTCTGTGAGAAACACCCCATCCGCGCGGGGATGGTGAGTAGGACTTATCTGGTAGAGAGGCTATAGAAGTGTAGCCACATGGAAGCATTTGGAAAGGAAGGACGAAGTCTACCTACTGTCAACTGTACGAGGTCGTATATAGTTGGGCGTTCCGATCTGAGTAGTTGGACACCATTCATATCCAGCTATCCAACGCTGTTTTGCTCGCTTTCTTGACTGCTATTCACGTAATATCATTGTGGCATGCGATTCGCCCCTGTAAAATGTAAGATGATGTTTCAGGATTGGACTACACCGACCCCTAGATTAGAAATAGGAAGTGAAGTGGTAGAGCACGTTGACCGCTTCACTTACTTGGGAAGTACCATCAGCCAGTGCCAACGGGTTGATCGCTGACGAAATCTCAGCACGAATACAGAGGGCTAGTTTCGCATATGCCAGTTTACGCCGTCTCTGGCGTAGACGTGATATCCAACTATCGACCAAAGGGCGTGTGTACTGTTCAGCAGTCCGCTCCGTCCTCCTTTATGGCTTTGAGACCTGGCCATTGAAAGCGGAAGACATGAAAAGATTAGCAGTCTTTGATCATAGGTGCCTCCGTTCATCTCCCGTGTGTGTTAGTTGGTGAAATGATAGGGTGAACAATATTGAGGTTAGGCGTCGAGTGCTAGATAAGGAGGGGAAATCAATCGACGAGACTGTGAAATTACATCGACTGAGATGGTTAGGACATGCCTAGTCATCGCCTTCCTCGACGGGCAATGTTAGCTGATATAGGGTCAGGCTAGAAAAGAGCTAGCTGCGGTCTAACGAAAACATGGCACCAGTCAATGAAATCTACAACAGTTAGTCTAAGCCACGTAGGAAAGTGTAGACTTCCTGACTGGTTCGGGTCCTCGGGATGGTAAAAACCAATGGTTGGAAACAATCGGTGATATGGCTCAAAATCGTTCTCAGAGGCTGGCGCAGGTGCATCCGCTCCTTGTGACTCAGGATTTCCAATGAAACTGTTTTGTTCTCCGTTATTACTATTCCTTTGTCTCACACCTCTGTTTACTGTCATTAGTATGCATTTCTTCTACTTTCTTCTCTTGCTTTGTGTGCTACAAGGAGGGAGTTTGGCGACTTGAACTGCCGCACATATGTGCAAAGTTCTATGTCGAAAACAAACAGACAGACAGACAGAATGTCATTGTGATCTGAAAACTTTTGGTTTGTGAGTGAAAGTCCAATGATTTCACACCATAAACTGTGGAATGTGAAAATTATGAGTTGAATTCTATGTATTACCAGTTTGCTTAATTAGCTAGCCAGAATTCGAGTAGTTTTCAACTGAGATGATATCGACCTCAATGGAGCTAAACGACCGTTCAGTTGTTTTTTCAGATCCTTGCTGATGACTATCAAGCATTAATTACTCTGCTTGACGAGGCCGACTGTACCAACTACTCATATGAATCAGTAGTATGTACCATTATATTTATATAGGGGGGCTTCAGCTGGTTTCGTTAGATTTCAGCTTCATTCCTTTTTCTGAATATATAAGAGTTATGGAAATACTGTGTAGGCGTAACTTGTGGACGTTAAGTGGAGATACTAATATATGTGTAGAACTTGGGCACTGTTGTAATAAGTGAATTCCATATGTTTGTTTATTAGATGTATCACACAGTGATAAAACAGTATTATTTACTGGATGACGTTATGAATAAAATTCACTTACAAATTAGAAGGTAAGGAAGAGTAGCTTCCAATGTTAGATTGTAGCGTAAGAAGGAAAGAAGATGGGAAGTTAAACACTAATGTTTACGGGAAACCCACACATTCAAACAGATATTTTGACTTCCTATCATCCCATCCTATGTCAGTGAAAATAGGATTGGTGAAATGCCTCAGTGACAGAGCACAAAAACTAAGTAGAACCAAGGAAAATCTAAAACAGGAAGTGATACACATAAAAGAAACTTAATAATTACCCTGATAAATTACTCAGAAAGTATGTAGGAAAATGTAAAAACAAAATAAATAATGATAATAACGATAGTGATAATAATAATAATGACGACATGCATCTCAAACATGCGCAAGGCAACACCAACAATAAGGAATCTAAGTCGTCAGTAATAATTCCATACAGGGAATGAATATCGGAAACCTTACGCAGAATTCTTAATAATGCAGGAATAAAAGTGGCATTCAAACCCATAAACTCAATTAGAAACAAGCTTTATCGGTTGAATGGAGGATCCTGTGGAGCCGTTAAAACAAAACAATTTAGTTTATCTAATACCCTGCTTGCAATGACTGTTAGGTCAAACACATGGGTCAGAGTAGTAGAACAGGTGCAGCCGGACTAACCGAGTATAAAAACCTAGCAGAATCTAGATCAGTTGACCCGAATAAGATAAGAAATCTAGACAATAGTTCAGCTATAATACTCACGATAAGCAATTACACACAACCATGCAATAGGATGGGATAGGATGACAGTTTTGAAATCTAATAGAACTAACATGGTAGAGGGAGAGATTGATTACAGAAGCTCTGTTTATCGAATCGACTGAAGAGAATACGTGTAATAGGAATGATTCAACACCTCTCCAGTCGGATATCTGGAAAATTCTACTACCCCAACGACGACAAACAGGGGAGAACAAAGGAAACTATAAAACTCAAGTTTCGAAGTCGTGTGATTATAATTGATGAAATGATTATGATAACTTTATATATGCAACTATTTACTATGTCTATTATCACTGTTTTTATTTAAGCCATTGAGAAAGGGTCTTTAAAAATACAATAGCTGAACTATTGCTAAAATATTGGCTTTGGTAAGACAAATCACGTAGACTTCCATTAAATGTAGTGATTTCTATTGTCTCTAAGATCAATAATCATAAGACTTAGGGTTCTAAATTAAGCAAGGAAGCAAGTTACAAATCATTCAATTGATTCGTCGTCAACGTCACAGGGACGTCAGTTCCTTCAAGTTTGCAGATATCGCTAGCTGACTAGTGCCAGTAAGCACTCAATCTAGGTCCGTCGTCTCCTGCTAATTACGGCCAACCATCTGATATCAATATTTATGACTCAGTCGAAATTAAATCTTTGGGATCAGTCTTTATTAAACGGGAGGATATATCATGGATCCATGTGTCTAATTTTGCTTGCAACACATGGTGTTTGCACTAGAGATAAGTCTGAATCTCATTCTATCCAAGCAGGCAGGTGAACTTCGTTGTCTAATCCTAAGCCCGGAAAAGAGGGAAGGTTGGGTATGGGGGTAGCGACCTTACCCTGTAAAAAAGATTCTTATTGCTACTGAAACTTCAACGACGAAAATTTGAAAGAGGTCACTTCCCTCTCACTTATCTGAGCAACATCATTCCAACTACAGGCGGTACGGATGTGGGGATCTCAAAAACAGGATTGAAAAGGCGAAAAATACTTTCATCACCCTGAAATCAGTTTGAAAATCGGTTGTGCTCAGCACTAATAAGATGATTCAAATTTTCAGCACCAGTATTAAGTCAGTTCTTCTATTTGGGTCAGAGACTTGGCGTGTCACTGAAAACATTTCCACCAAGCTACAGACTTTCATCAACAGTTGTCTTCTTTGGGTCCATACTGAAGACCGGATGGCGAGGACGGATGAACAACGAGAGACTCTGGCAGGCAACGAACAACCCATTGTCCAGTAAATATGCCGGAAAAAATGGGGATGAATGAGACACACATTGAAAAGACCATTGAGTGACATCGGACGCCAGACCTTCGAGTGGAACCTGAATGCTGAACGACGAATTGGGCGTCTGAGTGTGACACGGATGACAACAACAACAACAGCAGCAACATCCAGCACCAATCACCATCAACAGGAGGGATTTGAAAGAGCTTACTTTATTCACTTATCTAGGGAGCATTGTCTCAACTACAGGAGGAACGGACGAGGATGTCAAATTGAGAATCGGGAAGGCGAGAAACACATTCACCAACCTGAAACCAATCTGGAAATCTTCGTCACTCAACTCAGCATCAACAACAAAATTCGGATTTTCAATACAAACGTCAAGTCAGTTCTTCTATGCGGTTCAGAAGCTTGGCGGGTTACCAAGAATATTTCCAACAGCCTGTTTCAGACCTTTATCAACAACTGTCTTCGCTCTATACTCAAGATCAGATGGCCCGAAAGGGAAGCGGTGAGTGGGACGTCAGTGCAAGGGTGACATGGAGGAGATCGTGTGAAGAGGAGCTGAAACAGTATGGACTAACATGGATTCAGATGAAAACTACAGCAGAACACAGAAGCAAGTGGAGACGTGTAGTTGAAGCCCTATGTTCCACTAGGAACTCAAGGGAATAATAATAAATAATAATAACACCCTAAGTCGACAAATCGGTCTGTGAGTCGCTAAAGCCGGTTAGGTTGGATTCTATTCCATTCCGCTTCATTAAGCCTCTCGCACAATAATAGGCGCTGGCTCATTGCTAACTTTATAGGGATGCAAGTAACATTTAATAATAATAATTTGCTTTATTCCAAAACAGTAATTGTGATACAGAATGGAATTCTCAGCATTTCACTACAGTATTGCATCCAGTTAGTACATTAACAATAAATAAAATTCTACACAGATTAAGGGTAATCTCAGTTAGTTTTGACAACAACATATTGGCATGTCGGTAGCAAAGCCAAAATTGAACAGAGTGTTTGAAGGTGTTAGAAAAGTAGATGCTAGCATATTTACTGGCGTAAGCGAGAGAAGGAAACAAAGCAGCACATAACGGAAAAGAGAGAAAAAGAAAAGAAAGAAAGAAAACGTTCTACCTATAAATGATATGAGTTGCAAAGACGAGATCCAGTTGTTCTACTGACTATTTAATGAATTATAGGTGTCACGCCTAATGCTTTCTTTATCGCACAGAACACGAGCTAAGTAGGGTTTGGTTGAGTTTTTGTACTTGCTGGTGCGAGCATATAGTTTTCTCTATAGACTTCTGGTTCTGCCTGATGAGATACAAGGGGAGAGTTGTGAATGAAGAGGGTGGTGTGAGTTAGATAGAATGGATTTAGCCCATTTTTCACATGAGTTCAAGTGCCTGTCAACCAGAATATTAACAAGCTGGTTAAGTGGCACATTGCTTACCCTGGTGACAACCTTTAACATCCTGCGTAACAAGGTATAGTCCTTCTTCAGTAGCCCTGGAAAAACTAAGGGGGAACAATAGAGAATAAGAGGCAGGATTTAAGAGTTAACGAATCGTAGGAGTAAGGGTTGGGTTATTCCAGAATGTCTTCACTTCTTGATGTAGAAGGTAAGACGGAATATTTTCTTGCTGCTGCTGCTGGATTCAACATAGAACTTGGAACCGAAGTGCAGCAGTTCGAGGTGCCACGTTCCAAATAGCACACAAGGGTAGACAAGAAAATGAGTGAAGACAATCAATAGAGATTTGACAAGTATAAGAGTGAAACAGAGTGAGTAATGGTAGAATAGAATATGAAAGATTACAGAGACTTAATACATTTGCGTAAGCCATTGACAACGATTTTCAGCCATGTCACCTATTGTCTCCAGCCATTGATTCTTAGAGTCCTGAGGGCCCCAACCCGGAAGTCTGCATCTACCTCCCAACCCGACTCAGTTTAACTGTCAAGGATTTCATGGACTGATGAGGCCATGTTTTTGTTTGGCCACCACTTACTCTTTTCCAACCTGCACCTATATCAGCTAGTAATGCCCGTCCGTCGGGGGAGGCGATGGTTAGGCATGCGCAGCACGTGACCTAGCCATCTCAATCTATGTAACTTTATAACGACGGAATATTTTCTTAGAAATCGTCAAGATATGAGATGACCAGGAAAGATCAGCAGATAGAATTAGTATTTTATTCACTATTCATTTCATTTTAATAATAATAAAACTGGATACATTGTTTTTTTTTTTTGTTTTACAATTTCATTTCCCATCTCTATCGTTTTATTTCCCTCCTTTGTCCTTTGTCTAGTGTATTGATGTAAGCACAATGCTGGCTGAGGCTATCCGTCGAACACACAACGGTGAATCTGTCTCCTATCTGTTCAATCATGTCCCACTATAAACAGAACATCATATAATTCATACTTCTGCACAGATTTAATTCTTTTTCAAAGTACTAATTAAACCATATTATATAATAATAATAATATTAATACAATAATAACATCTCTTGTTCATAAACACATCGATTCAAATGCCACTCCTTATTGATTAATTATTCTTCTAACTGTTATCTCAAAATTCTCCCCCATTTAATCCATCTCCCTTGGTGTGTTTTTTATATTAACACCAACGATGAGTTCCTTTTTCATTGTATGTATGTATGTATTAATGAATGTCTTTGAAAAAAGTGTATCTTTCAAACTTTGTTGTCTGTCTTCATCGCTTCATAAATTTTTGTCATTCAGTGTGAATCTCCAATAGAAATATCTAATTAAATTGATAAGAAAGCTTCCACAGGATACCCTACTACAGGTGACAAAGTTTTGTTTTAAGTCGCCACCGATGCTGGCTCTGCTGGTCCTGACGACGATGAATGATACCATGGCAATCATTGGACTGGGAAGAATGTTTCTCCTTCACATCTTCAATCAAGTTCTGCGTCTATCTATATTAGAGTTGATAAACTATCCTTCTTTTTTCTTAGTTTGTTATCATTATTATTATTATGATTTTCTTGTCCTGTTGTGGTTTTTATGTTGTTGTTTATTTTTCAAGGAAAGAAATTGTTTACAACTCTGGTGTTATTTTGTTTTGATTTAATTTTTTTTATTTATGTTTGTTTGTTCGCTTATTTGTTTGTTTGTTATGGAGGGAACATATGAATATATAAGTGTGAGTTAGTGTTGCCAGTGTGTAGGAACAACTGACTGACTGACTTGGTTTACCTTGAAACGACGAAATCAGAGTTAGTCAAGTTAATTTAGGTAGAAATATCATCTGTTTACCGGTGTGCGTCGGTGGCACAGTGGTAGAATCCTTTCCCCTTAACTGAACTGAACGACTTAGGAATCGACTTGTTATCAGGGAATAGTCTTATGGACTTAGAATATGCAGATGACATAGTCCTGTTAGGTGAGGATGCTGACAAAATGCAGAGTCTTCTGAATGAACACCTTGAGCAGCAATTTTCGTATGTTCGGCATGCGATTCGCCCCTGTAAAATGTAAGATGCTACTACAGAACTGGACTACGTCGACTCCTAGCTTAGTGATAGGGAGTGAAGTGATAGAAGATGTTGATCACTTCACCTATTTGGGAAGTTGTATCAGCACCAATGGATTGATTGGTGACGAAATCTCAGCACGAATCCAAAAAGCTCGAGCTGCTTTCACTAACTTACACCGTCTCTGGCGTAGGCGTGACATCCGGCTATCAACCAAGGGACGTGTGTACTGCACAGAAGTTCGCTCCGTCCTTCTCTATGGCTCTGAAACATGGCCAATACGAGTTGAAGACATGAAAAGGTTGATTGTTTTTGATCATAGATGTCTACGATCTCTTTCTCATGTTAGGTGGTATAATAAGGTAAGTAATGTTGACGTTAGGCGTAGAGTGTTGGTTGGGCAAAGAGGGAAAATCAATCGACGAGGCTATAAAGTTACATAGATTGAGATGGCTAGGTGACGTGCTGCGCATGCCTAACCATCGCCTCCCCCGACGGACGGGCATTACTAGATGATATAGGTGCAGGTTGGAAAAGAGTAAGTGGTGGTCCAAACAAAACCATGGCCTCATCAATCCGTGAAATCCTTGACAGTTAAACTGAGTCAGGTAGGGAGGGAGATGCAGACTTCCGGGTTGGGGCCCGCCCTCGGGACTCTAAGAATCAATGGTGGCTGGAGACAATAGGTGACATGGCTCAAAATCGTTGTCAATGGCTTACGCAGATGTATTCAGTTTCTGTAATCTTTCATATTCCTTTCTACCATTACTCACTCTGTTTCACTCTTATACTTGTCAAAACTCTATTGATTCTCTTCACTCATCTTCTTGTCTACCTTTGTGTGCTATTTGGAACGTGGCAACTGGAACTGCTGCACTTCAGTGCCAAGTTCTATGTTGAATCCAGACAGAATGCTTGTCAACCACGCAGGTGTTTCGGGGTTAGATCCCCGGTCACTGACGCACTCCTCCTTCACCTCGCTAATCCAACAATAGGATTGGTACAGAGGGAAGGTTGGGTATGAGGTCAGCAGCAACCCCATCCCGTGAAAATAAAACCACCGCTACAGAAACTTCAAGCTGGCTCTAGCTGGAATCCCTTGTTATGTTCCACTGGGAAAGTGAAGGAACTTTAAAAAACGTACATGTTCATGAATAAAAACATTTATGAAAGTGTATAAAAAATATCTAATAGATGGCTCTGCCCAAAACCAAGTGTGGCAGTTTCTCATAGGATTGACGTCATCCACCCGAATGACCGTTGTTTACATATGTTCGTTTTTTTGGGATTTGATCATGGACTGATATAACAAAAGTGAGAGGGCGCTTACAACCAAATTAGTGGATATACATGTCTACCAAGGGAAAAAACCGTAATTCCAAACCTATGGTTTATAAATAAGCTTCAAAATTCGGACGGATTGAATGGGACATGAACTTGTTCTGTTTACTTTCAACCACGGAACGTATTTCCTGACGCTGCTCTACCCTCCGTCGAGAGAGTGAGCTGGACGCTTGAGACAATCATCTGTTCCTGTTCTGGCATCCATACAGTATACAGTTTTGTGTGGCGCATTTCTTGGAGCTCATAATGTGTGAAATTCATGTCTTAATAGCAATAAATGAGAGAACCAACGGGAACTTGAGAAGTACTACTGGACTGACTGCTTGAATGATCACTGAGCTCACCTCTTAACCTGAAGGTCTTTGGTTCGATCATCAATGGAGTCACTGGTGCGTACTGACGAGGAGTCCAAAAAATGAAACGAAGCAGCTGTCCAGTACTCCTCACTAGTTTCTAGTAGTTCTCTAAAAGACTGTCGTTTAGCCCCAGTGGGTAGAGCTATGAATTAAGGGTTAGGGTTTGATACCTTTTTCCGCTTACACCTCTTACATAAATACTGAATACCCTTCAGTGTTAAGGATAAACTGTATAAGTACCTAAGCAAGGTTTGATTGGCCACTTCAACGTTATTCAATGGTTTGTTCGATTGGTTCGCTATTCTTTGACCTGGTAAGCTTGCAAGTAGATCTCGCCTGCTTCGTATTATGTCGTTACAAAATAATGGCTGAAATATCTTATATATTTGTGGTTGGCGGTGAAGTCCGTATCCACAGAGAACTTATGCTCATCGGGAATCAACAGATTCAATATTTAACAAATGATTCAATGACTGATCCTTTGAACTAGATACTTTCTCGAATGTATTGGTTTAGAAGATTCTGAGGAAGGATTAGTCACGAAAGGTTATCAATTAAAGAATTATTGTAAAACAGAAAGTTTATATGAGATTATGTGTGTCTACCATCGAAGATATTGCGATTAATGGCAGGTCTATATTGGGTATGTATGTTGGACTATGTCAGTTCAATTAGAGTCGCTTTCACTACTCTCAATTTGTGTGGAGGTGAACAGCACTCAGCATCAAAAATAAGATCCGGATTTTCAACTCCAATGTGAAGTCAGTGCTACTAACTATACGGATCAGAGACTTGGTGCGTCATAAAGAGTATCTCAAGCAAACTACGGACCTTGATTAACAGTTGTCTTCGCTCAATACTCAAGATCAGATGACTAGCCAGAAAAGATCAGCAACAGGGATCTCTGGGAGAGAACGAACTTGGCAGGAACCAAGTGTGCAACAAATATGCAGGAAGAAATGGAGATGGATTGACTGGCCATACTCTGAGGAAACAAACCATCAAGTGACATCACTGGACAAGCCATTGCTCGAGTGGAACCCGAAAGGGAAGCGGCGAGTTGGTTGTCAGTGCAAGGTTGACTTGGAGGAGGTCATGTGAAGATGAGATGAAAGCATGTGGGCAGACTTGGAGCCAGGTGAAAACTCTAGCAGAGTAACCGAACGCAATGGAGAGGTGCGTGGCTGAAGCCCTATGTTCCTCTAGGAATTAAAGGAAACAATAATAATAATATCCAATCATCAATGCATCAAACAGAATGTTACAAAAGGGTTAGATCACCAATTTGGACTACGCAACATGACGTCTCCTACACTTATTATCTGATCAATGCATTTTTTCATCACTGAAAAGGGGCATATATAATCCGAGTGCTTCACAGTTAAAGTGTGCAACATCAGCGTGTGGTATATGACTCCAAATGGGTATACTATCTAACATTTTGGTGTAGATAAAACGTCTATGTGTCTTCACTTTCATGATTAAAAATTCTAAACCCACATCCATTAGAATATCCAGATATCTATTTCCGTTACTTTGTGAGCCCTTTTCCACGAAGTCTACGTCGCTATTCATAGGTTGAATCAACAGGCGCCGATCTGATGTGAGACTTCATACCTTGGTATGATTCATTTCAGTATCTCTTCGCCTAATTCAACCTTAGGCGCTATTATACGGAGGAAGACATGGCTAACTGGCTTAATCACTTGACTTTCAGTCAGTGGGTCCCTGGTTCGAATCCCGCCTTCCACCTACTTCAGCTTGGGCAACTACATAGTATAAACAGCCCCCTACAAAACAAGTGTGGCTCATAGCCTGGGACGTGGAAGACCTGTTCCGGGGACTGCGTACAAACATAATACAACAGGAGTATTATTTCTTCGAAACTACTTCAATCATTGAGTGTTTTCGTGATAGGTATAAAGAAGTAACATGACACGGCATTCATGAATTTACAGTGGAATCCTAATCTTCTTTATTCAGACAAACTAAAGAGGGAGGTAATAATGGCATATATAAACTGTATTGAAGTTTTAGTGGATAGTGACCATCGGTGTAATTCAGGACGCGCGTTTCGTCCTATTCGGGACTCGTCATCTGGATGTACCCGGACCTGTGTTTCAATTAAAAGTTGGTGGAATTTTATTCGGAAACACTTAAGTTCATTGCTTAACAAAAGTTGTTATTATACGATATATCCCATTAGAAAGTTGATGATTTTCTGAAGACTGGTTATTTTCGTTGGAATGATATGTGTGTTACATCTCACAGAAGGTCCACCAGTGTTACTCAGCAATCACAAGTAATTCCATGTAGTCGGCGATGAGCCACAACTACTGTGTGAGGACTGGTCCCATTTTGCCAACAGTTACCCTCAGAATTCAATGTGTGTGTGGCGGGGTTCGAACCCAAGGCCAGTCGGTTGGAAGTCGAGTGCCTAAACCATTGAACCATAGCTCCATCTCAGTTATTCGGAAAAACTTCCTCAAATACCAGGTTAAAAGCCACATTTATTTTGTGTGTGAGAACTCGTGAAGTAGGTGGGGGGGGCGGAACTCGAACCCAGGACCGATTAGCTTAAAGTGAGCTGCCTAAAGCAATGGGTGACATCTCTGGGTGTGATATGCTGACTGTGAAATTGCTAGACTATCAAGCTTTTTGAATAGACACCAGCACCTTTCTATTACTTGTTTTATATCAAGTTAGATTCCTCTACAAGTTGACACTGATTCGAGGTTTCATCTTGATCTGGAAATCTTCACTGAAAGAGTCTAGGATTTTTGGGTTGTAAGGCAAGCAACTGGTATTGAGTACCATTTTCTCGTATTCAACTTAGTGGACTTGAACAATCAGGACTCTTCGAGAAATCCATCTCT